TGCTGTCAAGAGAATCAAACCGACTGCTCTCCTTCCAAAGAAATGCCACAGTGCCAGACTGTCAGCTGTAGAACACGGCTTTGAGGTTACGAATGAGTCACGTCAAGATTGTATAAAAGTCAAACAATTAGATCCACTTGTGGTCAGAGTGTTGAGTCATCAGTGGGTCAGAGGAGATTCTCCATTGACACTGACAATACCAGATTAAGCAGCCAAAATCTGATCACAGTCTGTGTCTACAACAATCTGTGCATCAATTAATGTGAGAGCATCGAGGCCTGTTTAGTATCAACGCAGGCTTAAGGCTTTTGTGCATTTGTGTCCCTACACGTGCGTTGACACACGTTCCTACTGAGCACAGCTAACAGTCGCAGCTGTTCAAGCGTTTTAAAACTGACAAAAACACGTTTTCACACTCATCTGATCCTCTGTTAATCTCCCACAACTTGATGCGAGGTCAGCTGCCGTTGCTTCACCGAAAGCTTAATTACTATTTAGGAAACATCTTGATTTTACTTTGAGTCTCTGGTTGTCACTTTTCCCCACTGCAGTTGCTTAATTTGCACATGAAATGATCTCATTCCCATTTATGGGCTTTGGATTGTAGACAAACGAGTGACTCTGCGTTGTATACTGTGTTAATGGTTTTTATTGTGTCTATTTATTCATTAACAATTCCTGTGAGCCAGATTTCCATTTTTTTTGACAGTCACCGCTGAAAAACAGCTTCCAGCTTCACAAATGTGAGCATTTGCTATTTTTCTCAGCTGTGCGTCATTGTGGATTAAATTATTTGGGGTGTTTGTGATCCTTGGTTAACAAAAAAAGCTCTGTGAATGTCCAAAAAAGCTATTTTTGGTGGGGGGGAGGCACTGATGCTTAAAACTGATGCACTTATGCTCTTCTAGCAAATGGCATATGCGAAGCAAAATACAGCTGCTAGGAGTAACTCGAGCCAGCGTTCTTGTCTGTTGGCATGCGTGCGGATGGTAACAGGACAGTGTAATCAAGCAGAGAGACGTCGGCCATTGTTATGCAAGTGAGATGCTGTCGAGAGAGGCTTGGACACCTTCCCAGGTTCCATTGCTGTCGTGGTGTTTAAGCGGCGCGGGTCAAGTGACAAAGGGAGTTTCTGCTACCGAGAGATCTCGCTGTGAAGCCCTGTTGGTTTTTTCACATATGCGCGTCCCTCATTATCAGCGGACCCTAATGTGCAGGGCCATCTGCCCAGGGCTTGAGCCAAGAGAACATAAAAGGGTGTGACAGTAAATGTGCAGCTGTGGAAGGTAATGAAGGTATCATTCTCTGGATTATTACTGAGTGACAAAAGCCAAACCACACTACCCTCTCCTGCTAATGGATCCCAGCAATTATTTGCTGAATAAATCCTCCTCACCGTGTCCATCTCTTCCTCTTGTTCCTCTTTCTCACTTCCTTTTTTCTTCCTGTCCTTTCACTCTTCATTTCTGCTTCCTTTCATCTTTCCTCCCTCTGACCCTCCCTCTCGTTTTCTCCCCCCTTGTTCCCTAATCCCCCTCGTCGCCCATTTTCACCGCCATTCTCCTTCCACCTCATCCTCATATTTGCTTTCAACATTACACCTCACTTCTCTGCAGCTCCGCTTCCTCGTAGACCCACCTCACTCTTTCTCTTCTTCTTTCTCGCCTCCCACAGTCCCAGTGAAGCCGAGAGAGATGTCGCAGAAGAAGATATTCCTGGTCTTCGTTGCCATCAGTACTGTCAGTCTTCTGCTGCACCATGGGGGCCACTTGAGCTGGTGAGTGACTGAAACATACCCACGATATGCAGACACATTATATACCTGCTATCTCTCTAAAAAAATTCATATAGTGCTAATTATATTGATAAATCTTGCAATGGCAGCTCCTGTCTTTTATAGTCAAATTAACAGAGGGACTGGCTTATACGCACACTTAAATATACTTTCGATGCTCTGCCATGTGTTGTCGAGGGACCAATTATAAAAGTAGATTTTTGACAGCCCTATATTCTGTTCTCAAACTCTTTCAACTTTATGTTTTGCTCAGAAAACTTTTTCCCGATACACAACCTCACTGTCTTAGTGTAATCTGTTTCCACATTTTTGGAAAATATGACCTTCTACTTTGGTCTGCAGTGAATATTACTGCAACAATTCAGCAGAAAAGATCACAAACTAGGTTGCAGGCCAGAAATTAAGTGTTTCACTTAATCAGCCAAGGGTTAAAATGTTCCTACAAGGGAGCAGGCAAAAGGCTAAAATCCAACACTGAGTGAATCGGCAAACAAGAGGAAACTAGGAAGAAACCAGAAGAACAAAAAGTGAAATCACACATGACAGCGACGCAGACCACAACAACTGTGATTGGTCCACGTGGTAGTAATATGTACATTGATTTGCACAAAGACAATCCTTCTGTGAAGCAAAATGGAATATGTACCAGACTGTAACTGCATCTGGCTCGCTCATAATGCAAACTGAGATACTGTACCAGTGTGGCCTTGTGCTATTATTTATATTTTCAAAGCTCTACCAATCCATGGACAGACTCAATCAGCTCCAACTGAATTTTCTGCATTAAATTCTTGTAAAAGTAAATGTTGAACATTTTAACATATTAACTCCAACATGATCCGCTCTGGTTCGGTCACCGTTGTTTGAATTGCAGAGCATAAATACTCACAGCAGTCTAAACTGTTTCTGTAGACTCTGTGTAGATTCAAAGCGGGAGTATAAATGAAGTTTCACAGATGAACTGGCAGAAAAGCAAGCAAAGGAATGAAATAAAACAACCTGGGATGGATTAAAGTGAGTGATTTTACAATGAGACAGGAAAAGACTTGAATGAAATCCAGAAACCACGACAACTATGTGCATGATAAGACTTTTCTGTGATTTTTTATTTAGTGATGTAGCTAATTGTGTCATGATTATTCATATTAATTAGAGTTTTTTTGGAAACACATTTGAACACAATAAAGTTTTATGTTAGGTCCTACAGTAAGTGTCATCATTATACAGCCAAACTTTAAAGGTAATAAGTATGTTGTTATTAACTTAGATGTCTAAAGCAAAAGCTGTTCAGAAAACTAGGAATCTATCAGGTTTACTTATCTTCTAGAGCTGCTTCTGCTAAACCAGAGATGATCTTCTTCTTGCAGCAGACATGGACAGCATTGGTTCAGCTGTATTTAAAGCTTCAGCCACTGTTTAGATCAGGACTAAAACCAGGGCTTATAAAGTCCTGATTAAAAGAACTATCTTTGTTTTTCGAGAGAAAAAAAGGGCATGTTCAAGGGACACATGAGACTTTCATTAATTTGCTTAACATCGCACACAGCACTGTGCTCTTTAATCAGGCTGGCACATAGCTGTTCATTATATTAATAGGAATATTTTTCAAATAACAATGCAGCAAAGGAATGTAAATCAGACTATAAAAACTCCTAAACATGAAATAATTCAATGACTGTATTGTGTGAGATGCTGCAACACATATAACACAAAAAATGATTGAATGTATTAGTTTTTAATTACAATTAGCTGTGGATTATTTATTTCTCTGATATGTATGAGGATAACAATAAGCGCACATCATAAACTACGATTGCACTAAAAGTCAATGAACTATAATGTTGCTTTATCACCCAGCCACAGCGTGCAGTACAGCCTGGACACATCATATATTATCTTACTCTCTTTTTGGTCCTCCATCCTCTAGTGGCTTTGCCCTACTTCATTATCTTGCACCCTTTCCTTATTTCTCTCTTTTCAATTCCCCACATGTTCACTCTTCTTACCTCGGTCCTGCTCTACACCTCAATCTCTTCCATTATCTGTCCAGTGTCTGTGCAATTATGTGTCTAATGTCAGTATTTTATCTGGAGTAGCTACTCCTTTTTGTGGAGCTAATGCAGCTTCAAATAAATTATGTTGTTTTTCTGCCACCAGGACCATGGAGGCTTTCCACCTCGGTTGTCCTGCTCTTCGCTCCCATCCTGCCCCCGGCCTGAAACCCAAGCACACCAACGTGGTCTTTCTCAAGACCCACAAAACGGCCAGCACCACCATGCAGAACCTGCTGTTCCGCTTTGCAGAGCGCAACAATCTGACGGTGGCGCTGCCCGTGCAGGCCTGCGGTCACCAGTTCTGCTACCCGCGCTCCTTCACCTCTCACTTTGTTCATCCGCACACGCTACCACCAAACATCATCACCAGCCACATGCGTTTCAACAAGGCCGAGCTGCAGCGCCTGATGCCCAACGATACGATATACGTAACGATCCTGAGAGAGCCCGGATCCATGTTTGAATCGTTGTTCAGTTACTACAACCAGTACTGTCAGAGCTTTAAGAGGGTCCCTAATGGCAGCCTGGAAGCTTTCTTGGAGGAGCCCTGGCGCTACTACAGACCAGATGAGAAGGACTCCATGTATGCACGCAACACCTTGACCTTCGACCTGGGAGGAGACAAAGATCGCCCAGCGACAGATGCGGCGTACGCACGAGCCTTCGTGGCAGAGGTGGATCGAGTGTTCTCGTTGGTCATGATAGCTGAGTACTTTGATGAATCGCTGGTTCTGCTTCGCCATCTCCTCTCCTGGGATCTGGATGACATTCTATACGTTAAGCTCAACATGCGGACACCAAGTTCCAAGCGAAGTCTCACTCCTGGTCTTCCTGCAAAGATCCGTGCCTGGAATTCCTTAGACGCACGTCTCTATGACCACTTTAATGCCTCATTGTGGAGACAGCTGTCGGCCCTGGGTCCAGCCTGTGTGGCAAGGGAGGTGCGACTCCTTCGGCGGGCCCAGGAAAGGCTGATGAGAAGCTGTTTTGGTGGGCGGATGCCACTTCTCCGCTCAGCTGCCCAGATCAAAAACAAGGATCTCCGCCCCTGGCAGCCCAGTGGAAAGGTCGACATCGTGGGCTACGACCTCCCGGTAAATCTCAGCCGTGGGTTCTCGACCCAGTCCCAGGAGCTCTGCCTCAAGCTCATCATGCCAGAAGTCCAGTACACACGGGTGCTCCTGCGTTCCCAGTCACTGCGCTACCGTCGAGGCTATCAGCTTCGGCCTCCGCAGCAGTCGCATCCCCTCCAGCAGCCCATACGCACAGTCCTGCCTCGGCATCCTCAAGTCCACCGCAGTCAACCGCCACCTCCTGCTGCTCCAGGCCCTGCCTCAGGAACAAGGTCCACCTCCACCTCAAAGCCCGCTGCAGGAACTCAAGGTCGGACCACAAAGTTAGGGCCTAAACCCTCACAGACCCAGGCCTCATAGACTGGAAAACAGAGACTTGAATGAATCCGAGTGCCCAAAAGACTGCATTGTTCCACTCATCCTGACCCGTGACACAATGATGCTTGTTTGGTAACAAAGGCGTCCTTGAGAAAATGTCTGGGTTGTTCTTGTATCAGTGTCTCTCCTGTTCTTTCCAGACAGCGTTTGGGCTAAAAATAAATAAGGTAAAGGGTTAGACATATCTGGACTCGAACTTGAAATTCTCCCATCTCTGGCCTGTGAAACAGAACCATGGTTGGAAGAAACAAAGGCAGGAGAAACACTGGGACTGAGACTAAACTGGGACTTGCCTCAGTTGCAGCGGATGGATGAGGGTTTTAGGTAAAAGTGGCTCTTTGAAGCAAATCTGTTATGTGCAACGGGGACTCAATAGGGAAGTGGCGATATCGGGCCTATTGTGAGGCACAGACTGTGCTTTGTGTGTATCACACTGGTATAGTATCATGTTACTTGCTTTTATTCTCCATTTCTCAAGCTCTCTTTTGCTCTCTCTCCCTAACATATGCCACTACTTGAGAGAGACATAACGACATAAAGGGATCGGCTGTCAGCCTTCCAAAGAGCCTCCTAAGAGGCCAGACAGACCATTAATACAACAGCACAAAAACAAATCTTCTTCTCTTACAAACTCTAGAACCTAAAGCAACAGAGGGAGAGGGGATAAAAAGCCAGGCAGACAGACAGAGACCTTATCCAGAAGGCAAGCCTAAAAACTGCTGGATTCTCCATTTTGCCACCCATTACTGCTACGACTCACAGAGAGCCAACATACAGATAAAGCCTGCGTCTCTTAAGCCTTGCTTCCTCCAAGTATCCCTCTCTCCATTCTCCACCCCATCACCTCTGCCGCTACCTTCTGACCAGACTCTCCATCCGGAGTGGAGCACCAACGTGCTGCTTTTCTTCACCCCAGTCTCCCTCAGACCACCAGCTGACATCACATCTCGCATCGTAGAGACTGTATGTTACTTCACGAGGATGTGTTTTTGAGCTTGGGCGTTATTGCAATAAGATCTCCAGGCCTCCATCCTATATGAAAGCCGTGGATTTAATAACCTACCAGCAACCCCATACCACACACACACAATGGCACAAACGAAAACGTAAAACAACCTGACAGGACAAAGACTTGAAGCTTGTGGGTTGCAGTGTTTGAATATTTAATCGTCTCCTCTCGCAGCCTTCCTATGGCCCACATTCTAGGGTTACACGGCTGTACATTTTCATTAAGGACACGCTCGACCAGGTGAAAGCTGCTCATTCTGAACGCCGAAGCACAGGAGGACAAAGCGAGAGTGTTGATGTAAGATGCTTAAAGCCTCGTAAGGCTGGAAGGCCGGCTGGGATCCTAAAATGTCAATACTTATCTCAGCTGTGCTCCATTTTTAATGCATTCTGCTCATATTTAATGTGTCATTTATGTTCTTTTATTCCTCCAGTGATCAACGGGGTACTGATAAGTAACTGGAGGGCAGAGGAATGATGTGTGCATTTGTGAGACTGTGTGAGAGTATGTGTGTGGCTCACTCTGCTTCATGTTGTGTTTTTTTTTTTTCTCCATGGCCAGCCACGTTGGCATGGCAACAAAAGGAAATATTGTGTGTGGGATTTATTAAGATGATGTATTATTTATTATTGGGACTTTAAGAGTCCCATTACTGTATTTCACCCATTATTTTTCATGAGTCACTGGATAAAAACTGTATTTTCCATGAGTTACTTAAACATCATATGGGCAGCATACCACTTTAGACAGCAGAGGTGGAACAAGGCATGTGGCAACGGTATCAAATATTTATTCTTTACATGTTTTACATAATGCAAAACTACAAAGACCACTTCTGCAAACCGCACACTGAAACAAGTGTAGTCGCTTTAAAATTAATCTTTCATTCAGCGGCGCTTAAGTGCTCAACCACACTGTGCTTCTGCGGTTGTCACACTGCAGGTTATAATAAATAAAAAACACACAAACCGCCGTTGTTCTGACCGGAATTAAAAGCAGAGCGGTTCAGAGGCAGACACGAGGGGAGGATACACAGTTTTATGAAGTGGTTGTGAATTTTGGTGTTTCAAAGCGTGCTTATCTGAACGTACCGGGGAAACTCAGCCTTTAAAGCATGAGATGCACAGCAATTTTTATTTATTTACGGACATTTGAAATATGTTCAGATATGTGTATTATTACGTCAAGGTACATACACTGTAAAAAAAAAATGGGTGAAAGTGGATAAGACAGGAGCTTTTGTATATTTACTGTTAACTAATCCCATGAAAAGACCAAAACCAACAATATGTAAATCCCTCTGCTGACTTTCTGCTGTTCCTGTCCTATCCTGTCCGTGGCACTTAAGTGCATTGATTCCTTTTAAATCCCCAAAACAGTTCACAGATGTAGTCGTGCAGCAGTGACAGGTAACGATTTTTCAATAGTTTAGGGACAACAATGGAGCTCTGCAGCACAGAGGAATAAACACATACAAGACTTTGACTACAGCTGTTACACTGAAGAATCAGTTTATTGTTGGTTTTGCACTTATCATGAGTTTTGTTGACAATAATTGAAATGTAAAATACCACCACCCTTATCCTTTATTAGTTTAAATTCTGCTGCTGTGTGTTAAATAAAAAAAAACAGCTTTGAAAGAAACAATTATTCTGAAATAATAGGAAAACACTGAATATGTGTGTGTCAGAAACTAATTAAAAACCCAAAGTGTTCAATAAATAATCATGTGAATTAATACAAACTGAATATATGATTTACCTACTTTAACAATATCAGAGCTTATTTGTATTTAACTTTTTACTTGACAACATCATTTTATTTAATGATGACAAAGGTACAGTGGTAAATAAAACTGGCCGTTGTGTGGCCCTGGAAAAGGGACATTTTGGTATTTAAATGTTGGAATAAAGTGAAAATAACTGAATTATTTCACTATTTCTTGGTGAATCTTTCCAATGTGATCATTTACTTCACAAAATGCTCACATGTTGAACTCTCTGGTTCTTCGTACCTCCAAAGATTTGCACAAAAAGGTAAAGTTCAGCTGCTGTCAGTAAGTGCATAGAGGGTATATGTAATAAACTCCAATGCATACCCGTGGTAAATGCAACTTTCTGACATCTTTGAGCTTTCCATTTCGAGCAAAGTAAAGGTACAGAAAAAAAATACAATCAAAATAGGTTTTTGAAACTACTTTTCCTCCTATGTCTGTGTCTGAGTGGGATCCAGATAAAGAATATGTCTGTTTCCTCTCAAATGTTAATTTCTGATCCATTTCTGCCTGGCTGTGAGTCGCTGTAAGTGCTCTTTTGATTGTACGAGTCATTCACCCGGCTGTTCGGCTTCTTGTGAGAGTGTTTCAGTAATGGTCATGCTGTCATGTCTAAAGTGTCGGCTATTCTTCTTTGAAAATGCCGGAGGGGCTTTAAAAAAACGTTACACTAAAATCTCATCATCTTCGCATTAGCGCCTCTTTATTCTCTTGTTAGAGTGACGCGCAAAGCTGTTGTTGTTGATTTGATTTTTTGTTTGTTTTGCTATAATGAGAATTTCTTGTGGTGTCAGAGCCTTTTTGGGCTCTCTGATGAGCCTTTACATCACAGAAAAAAGAAACAGTTTATTGCCATTGGGGGAAAATGGCACTCTCAATCGTTCTCTGACCCGTTGTCCTTCATTGTCTCTTTGATCTGCTCATCATTTATTTCCATTTTCTGTTTATGGATTTATCTGTGAAATGGGAAGAATGAGACTTTTTTTTTTTTTTTTTCCATTTTTGTGATTGAGTGAAAGAGTTTGTTTGGGTGACGGAGCTCTGAACAAATGGCTAGCGACAATCAGAGCTAGGGGCCCCAAAGCTTTGTAATTACTGATGGTAAATGTGATGAATAAAGTGAGAATGATTTCAATTCATCGCTGAGCGAACGTTTTTGACTCTGTCATTACACTTTTCAATGCAGATTTATTCAGATATGCACCAACTTGAATTACTCTGAATATTAGAGCAATGCACACACACGCACACTTTTCATCAAGAGCGATACATAACACACAACCACAATTAAGATTCTGATTCTGAACGGTTTCTATTTCCCTGAAGACTCAAAGCAGACTTTTCGGGCCGCAATCAGGCTTTTGAAATTACCTCCATTCAGCACGCCTGCCTAAGTGAATGAACAAATTGCTTCTCAGAGAGACAAAAACAAAATGCAAAGCAGTGTGTTTGATAAGACTGTGATTGAAGCAATCACGGCGCTGTGTCCCCTTTCGCCGGCCTGTCATTATGGCCTGCTGTTGCCATGGCGGTGCCTGCTGTGAGGTGGCCCTCCGGACTCGTTGCCTCGGCACCTCTCTGTTTTTCCTCTCACATCTCTACTGCAGTTCTCTTTGTTGCTCTATCTTGGACATAATCAGGGTTTTCACCATAAGCATCATTATAATAATAACAGTAACTGTACTAATATAATGACCAACGGATAAAAAGGAGGAAGAGAGCAAACAGCCAGTTCACAAATAAATACTCCCATTTACGCTCTTGTATTTTTCCACTTTCTTACTTCTGAAACAAACTTGCGTACAAATATGCAAGACACAAGCTGTGCAGAGATACCAAAAACGACTCTACGTGGCAGTCATTCAAAACCTTAACAATACAGCAAAAATAACATAAATAAATGAATTTTTAGTCTGCTGGGAAAAACACTCAATCCTCGATTTTCTTCCCTCTGCAGTCTTTATGTGTGAGGTTTATTTATGCCTGAGAAGCTGGCATCTCCATTGCGTGAAATCCACTTTAGCATGAACATAAATACCTATATTTATTGACAATTTACACAAATTTAATATTTAATGAATTATTTAATTACTTATTGACTTTTCAGGCACGCTCGCGGCACAGCTTGAAGGATGGTAATTCCAGTCCACCACTTTGGTGTGGAATATATCAAATATTTTGAGATTGATTACCATGACACGGAG